AAATGTACAGCCTCACCTAGATGCCTTTCTCCTATTTCTACAGATTACACCGTGCTAAACATGGAACCATTGTACTGCACTAGAATTTTTTCATTGTTCTAAAACTAAATAGTATTTAGTTCCTTAGTTCGTATGTGGTTGGGGGTGGGTGGGGTTTATATATATATATATATATATATATATATATATATATATATATATATATATATATATATATATATATATATATATATATATCTGTATAAATATTCACAGAGAAGCAAAAAAAAGCATTTTAAATAAAATATAGATATAAAATAATATGCTAATGATATGTTATATTGCTCTAGAATTTTCCCGCCCTTCTGCGTACCCCTAAATTTTGGGAGTGGAGGGGACTAAGCCCATCCCAACCACCCCCTAGAGGCGCCTACAGTGGAGAGGGAGACTACTAGACCAATGCTAGAGATCAGTTGGACGAAATCCACATTCATTGCGGTGCTATGAAGTCTACTGATAAGACAGTTACCATTGGCTGGGGGTGGGGGGTGGGGGTGGGTGGCTGGGGTGGGGGTCAGTTGATCAATGTGATAACGGCTGAAGCTTAATGGCGAGACTGATTAATGCCACATGGTCTTGGGTCGTGTCCAGCTTCTACACCCCATTCCTCCACAACAACCGCCAGTTTACATGGGCGTCAGGTACCCATCAGAGCTGGGTGGTCTAGAGTCAGGTACCCATCAGAGCTGGGTGGTCTAGAGTCAGGTACCCATCAGAGCTGGGTGGTCTAGAGTCAGGTACCCATCAGAGTTGGGTGGTCTAGAGTCAGGTACCCATCAGAGCTGGGTGGACTAGAGTCAGGTACCCATCAGAGCTGGGTGGTCTAGAGTCAGGTACCCATCAGAGCTGGGTGGACTAGAGTCAGGTACCCATCAGAGCTGGGTGGACTAGAGTCAGGTACCCATCAGAGCTGGGTGGACTAGAGTCAGGTACCCATCAGAGCTGGGTGGACTAGAGTCAGGTACACATCAGAGCTGGGTGGACTAGAGTCAGGTACACATCAGAGCTGGGTGGACTAGAGTCAGGTACCCATCAGAGCTGGGTGGACTAGAGTCAGGTACCCATCAGAGCTGGGTGGACAAAAGTCAGGTACCCATCAGAGCTGGGTGGACTAGAGTCAGGTACCCATCAGAGCTGGGTGGACTAGAGTCAGGTACCCATCAGAGCTGGGTGGACTAGAGTCAGGTACCCATCAGAGCTGGGTGGACTAGAGTCAGGTACACATCAGAGCTGGGTGGACTAGAGTCAGGTACCCATCAGAGCTGGGTGGACTAGAGTCAGGTACCCATCAGAGCTGGGTGGTCTAGAGTCAGGTACCCATCAGAGCTGGGTGGTCTAGAGTCAGGTACCGATCAGAGCTGGGTGGGCTAGAGTCAGGTACCCACCTACGAAATCTGCTAATCGTGTAACTATTCAAGAAGGCCAACCGTCTATTTCTGCAAAACTAAACGACTTAGTATGTGGTAGGTCCACTCCTATTCACCAAGTGCTGCTAAACATTCAGCATCATAACGATTATATTTAGAAGCACACAGCAAATGTAAGAAATAAACAACAACCGATTCTTTAAAAAAAATAGGACGAAGTTTTGCAGTTATTCGAAACAAAACAACTGGATATTCCCATCACAGTATAGCGAACCAATGCTTGCATAGTAATTATATTGTCATAATACAGGGTTTAGCTTCTCTCTACACAAACACATTTGTATGCGTGTAATTATGCTTGGTTTGTGCTTCCATAATGATCCTTATATATATATATATATATATATATATATATATATATATATATATATATATATATATATATATATATTGGTATACATTATTTTAGTATTCCCTATGCACTCTTCATAGTGCCGTGACTGCGAACATTAAAATCTAAAGCAACCTTTGACCCCCGTCCTTAAACATGGCGTGAGTCAACATAATTTTCCATGTCTTAGAGCCGGAAGTTGGAAGGGGATAAGCACCACTGCTCACTGTCTCATGGTCAACATCAGGCCATAAAACACACTCCTCCCACCCAACCCATCATACCCCGTAATTAACATTAAGGTATGGGGATGTTAAATTTATATATTTTTATATACAACACGTATATGCAAGCAAGTGAAGTTTGTTTAAATAGAAACAAAACTGACCCAAAAGGGATGGCACTGACCTGTTGATTCCAGAACTTTCTCAGCCCGTCCGTCCTTGTGGTCTTGTGTGTGTTGTTTTAAAACAATTGCAGTCAAAGTAGCCGCAGCAGTTTTGTGCAATGACTCATGTTAATAAAGATAACGCGATACAGTCGTAGCCTTCCTAATGACGCCGGCGATCGAGGGCTGCTCGGAGAGAGGGCGGTTGAGACCGATTGTTGGCTCGTTTGTACAATGCGGAGTATTGATTGACTGGTGTGTGCGTCTGCTCGCACAGACGATGGAAGGGGGGGGGGGGGGGGGCGGCTAGGATCCGCGCATCAGGTTTGCAGATACAAAAAAAAAAATGTCCACCAAACATTACCGTGACCCCCCTCGGCTTCACAAATAAAAAATTTACCAGCCTTTTATGCATGTTTTTGGCTAAATACATCCTGTTTATGCTAGATAGGTCCATTGTATTAAGACATCATGGTGAATATGCCATGAGGTCCATTTCTAAATACGTCATATTTATGCTAGATAGTCCATTGTCTAAAGACATGATATTTATACTAGATGGGTCCATTGTCTAAAGATATCACGAAGAATATATTAAGGGGCACCTTGTCTAAAGACGTCATGATGCTTATGTTATAGAGGTCCTTTGTGTCAGTCTATAAAGCTCAAAAGGTCTTTTACCTAAAGGCACAATGAAGTTGATATAGGTCCATTAGCCGAAGACATCACGATGTTTTTACAGCCACTGATGTGCTTAAGTCATCAACGACATGCGGCTCCTTAAAAATGGGCCGTGGCTCGGCTCATAAATAACCTACCGTATGTAGTATAAAAACTTGTTTAATTCAAAACAGTGATTTGAAGCTGTATTTGAAGATATGCTAAGATTTGAAGGGCATGTCTACGAATAATATTTATTATTTACAAATATTTTGAGTGCTTACTTCTTACAGTTAGGCATTCTCTTAGTTACTTCCCAACCCCTTACCCACCCCCACTACACTCATCTCGTTATGGGCCATCCATAAATGACGTCACGCTTTTTTTGACGATTTTTACCTCCCCCCTTCCCTTCTTCACACATTGTGACAAAAAGTCAGACCTCCCCCCCCCCCCCCCTTAAAATAACGCCACACCTCAGCCTCAGTGTTTCTTCCAACTTTTTTCTCCGGGGGGGGGGGGGGGCACTTGAAATTTTCGGGGGGCGGTAGACTTTCTTCGGGGGGGGGGGGGGGCGGACACTGTTAAAAGTATATATTTTCTATATAAATTATATAAATTTCATTTCGTTGGGGGGGGGGGGGGGGGGGGGGGGGCGGTAAATTTTTTTCGAGGGGGGTGCTTTGTCCCCCCCCCCCCTCCCGAAGAGATGCCTGGGAGAAACTCTGCTCAGCCTACAACACCCCCCTCTCAAAATTGCAGTTTAAATTTTTATTATGACATCGATATTTTTCCAAAATCTTGTCGGACCTCTATCAAAATAGAGTATTTTAATCAATTCCTATTACAATTTATTTAAACAGTTTTTTAAAACGCGAAATAGCGGCTAAAACTCGTTTTCTAACCTTGCTTTTTTATAATGCAAAAGTGTGACGTCACACCATCTGCAACCCCCCCCTCATTAAACGCCGTCACAATTATGTACCCCCTTCCCCCTACGAGTGTGACGTCATTTATGGACGACATTTTGGGCCCATATGAGACATATTGAGACTAAGTGAGCGAGAGAGGTAGAATTAAAGGGAAGTAACATCTTTGTGTCATCAAGACGTTTCTGTTGGAATTTGGGCAATGTTTTGGTTGTGTGCTTTTAAAAAAAAAACTTTAAAAAAAATTGAACCCAGTTAATTTGACTGTGAAATAATTTCTTCACTTGAAATTACAGTTTTGAAATATATGTTACGACTTAATAATTAACAGAACACAATGGACTAGGGAAACTTGTAAAAATTTAAAATAAACAATAAATACAAACATGTTTGATTATTAGAATTTACACACGGTAGGCACTATTTAATTCTATATAAGATGTTTTTATATAACCATGTCGATCAACATGGCGGCAACGGTCGGCTCTGCAAAATGCCTTTCAATAGATTTGTTGAGATTGGCCGTGTGGCCTATGTTGCCCATGGAGATGATAAAGGCAAGTTAGTTGCAATTGTTGATGTCATTGATAAAAACAGAGCTCCAGTAGATGGACCTTGCTCAGGTGTGGGTCGCAAAGATTTAAATTTTAGAGCACTCCATCTTACACAGTTTACAATTAACATTGGACCCTCTGCTAGGTCAGGAACAGTTAAGAAAGCTTGGGAGAAAGAAGAGATAACAAAGAAGTGGGAGCAGTCCATCTGGGCCAAGAAACTAGCTAGAGCTAGAGCTAGAGCTAGAGCTAGAACTAGAGCTAGAGCTAGAGCCAGAGCCAGAGCCAGAGCCAGAGCCAGAGCCAGAGCCAGAGCCAGAGCCAGAGCCAGAGCCAGAGCCAGAGCCAGAGCTACAGCTACAGCTACAGCTACAGCTACAGCTACAGCTACAGCTACAGCTACAGCTACAGCTACAGCTACAGCTACAGCTACAGCTACAGCTACAGCTACAGCTACAGCTACAGCTACAGCTACAGCTACAGCTACAGCTACAGCTCAAAGGAGGGCTGAATTGACTGATTTTAAGAGGTTCAAGCTAATGAAAGCAAAGCAGGCTCGTAATCGCCTAATCAACATAGAATATGGTAAATTAAGTAAAGCAGAGCGCAAAGCCCCAGCTAGGCCCAAGAAACTTAAAAAGAAGAAGACTGCCAAGAAGTAAACTGTTAGGTTAAAAAAAAAATGTAATTTAAGATTGCATTAAAGTTGATGGTAATAAAAAAAAAAGAAGGCAGAAGCCAAGGGAGCTGCCAAGGCAAGCAAAACAACCGCAGGGAAGCCTAAAAAGGAAGGGTCCGGTGGTAAAGCTAAGAAGAAGTGGTCTAAAGGAAAAGTCCGTGAATAAGTTGAACAATCGTATCCTGTTTGACAAGGCAACATATGACAAATTATACAAAGAAGTTCCCTGTTATAAGCTCATCATCCTTCAGTTGTATCTGAAAGGTTAAAAGTCAGAGTTTCACATGCTAAGCAGGCTCTCAAAGAGGCATTCAAAGGGTTTGATTAGGCTAGTTTCTAAGCATAGTTCTCAGATCATCTACACAAGACTCAGAGAGTTGCATTCAAAGGGTTTGATTAGGCTAGTGTCTAAGCATAGTTCTCAGATGATCTACACAAGAGCCACAAAAGGAGATAAAGATGACGCTGAATAAATTGTTCTGAAATAAAATTTCTTTAATTAAATTTTTTTTTATAACAATAATATATAGAATATTAGGTATGCCTACTTTGAAGGAGACAATTATTGAACAAGTATTTTTTTGCCTCATTTATTGGACGTTTTTTTTCTTTTTGCCACAGACATGTAATTTACAGCGTCAGTTTGCCTTGCATGTTCGCTTTAGTATTACAGTTTTCATCATCGGCTTGTGAGGACTGATATAGATTTACAATAGTAATACTTCTTTGTAACATGTACTTTCATTTATTTAAGATGGTTTACTTATACATAATACAAAACGTATCATTACAATTTTATTTTTGAACCTGAAAATGTAAATCCTAATTTATAAAAGGCCATGTGCGCTCTTCTCTCTCTCTCTCTCTCTGTCTGTCCGCAAAATATTTTCGCCGGACATCACGTCAGAATCGGCAGCGATATATGGATACCTTTATACGGACTTTTGTTGAAAATAATATGTTAGATGTTTTAAATGTATAACCAAAAAATTATTTAAAGAAGAAAAATAAAAAATAATGGCGTATTCGAATGTAGAGAAACAGTATTATTTATGCAACCGGAAAATTGTATAAACTTGAGACAAGAACGCATTTAACAATGACGTCGCTTATTGTTTACACTAAAAAAGAGCACGAAACTGATGACGTCATCTTCCGAGTTTAGAATATAAAGAAATGAACTATTTCATTCAAATATGATTTAGAGCTATGTACGCTATGAAATGTATACAATACGATTTTCTCGGCCTAAACTTAAAAAAGTTATTTTATCTATTTGGATTCTAGATCTAGATCTAGAGATTCTAGATCTAGATATTGATCTCGATCTAGATATTCTAGATCATCTAGATCTAGAGATTCTAGATCTAGATCTAGAGATTCTAGATCTAGATCTAGATGATCTATAAAGCTAAGTTGTCGGGTGCCCGATAGGGCACTTCACGGCGCCGCAGGCGCTTCAAATTTGGCAGGATCTTGCCTTGGGGCGACAGAACACGGGGGACGGTTGGCCAAAAAGTCTACGATGAGGGGGGTCAAAACTGACCTCGACTGGCCGGCGCCTTATATGGGCGAATTAATTAAGCATTCAAATTCTCAATGTTTTCGAAAGCCTAAGCGAAGCTGGGCAGCATGCCTAGTGTGTAAATAAATGGTGATTAGAATTAGAAGATTTGTTCTTTTTCGGTGGGGTAGATTGAGTGGGTATGGGCTTATAACGAGCTGAAATAAATTTGGGAGTAAAGAAAAATAACATTATAAATATTATAAACAGCTAGAATGATATGTTGAGTACCAAAAGACACATCAAAACTTTCTTCCCTTCCTAAAAGCAATATCAGTGGTAGAGCTACCACGGTTTTTCTTTCTTTTTATACAAATTTATTTTAAACATTAAAATAGTAATAATAAACTTATTTTTGTAGTTCTATACAGTTTCAAAGAAATGATCTTATGTTGTATATTAAAGTATGTAAAAGAAGTAAGTAACACGGCACAATAACTTTTTAAAATGTAAATATTCGATTATGTACAGCTGTAAAATCCTTAGCTTTCATTCTATGCCTGAAATTATGTAAAAGTTGTCTTCATAATTTCCCGTTCGTGCCCAAGACAGATGGGGACGAAGTGGGGTTCATCTGCTTCAGAGACCTCGGCATATGAAAGGATAGTGTGGTCAACACTGTGCCCAGCCGCCTTTGTTTCCTTAACGTAAGTTGGGTACCCATTAGAGCTGGGTGGACTCAAGAACGTTCCACTGATTTTGAATTCGAACCCGAGAGTCAGGTTGGTAGTCTGGCTCTCTACCGCTTGACTATGCTGTCACAAAAAGTATTTTTTAAAATTTTAGTTCCTATTGCTTTAATTAATGCATAAAGACGAAGATGTGTAAAGCATGTGATAAAATATGCAATAAATGTGTGACATCTAGACGTGTGAAAATTTAGAGGCAGTAGTCAGTGATAACATAATCATAATGACCAACACATTGAAAATGTTTGAATGCAAATGTTTAGAGAGAAAATAAACATAAATCTACAACAGTAAAATATTAACTAAAAATATTTAGAGAAATCATCTTTATTTGGGTAGATTATGATATTTTAAATATGGAACAATTGCACACAGATACTTATTGTATGTTTATTCATAAATATCATAAGATAAAGATTCTTTTACCCTGAAAGATTCTGCAAGGAGAAACTTAAAAAAAAAATTGAAATAATGTGGTTTTATAGCAGAAGGCATTATTTAACCATATAAGGCCAACTTTAAGTAGACAAACATTCAATGTGTCAGAATAATTTTTTTATAAAGATAAAACTTAAAAAGTTTCATTCAACTGATTATAATATCCCTTGCCATAATATTTATAAAACAGAAATGACTATAAAAGACTTTTCCTTATTCATGCATTCAGCAATATCTTCAGTTCTCTACTTTTATCTTTAGCAACAACATCATCTCCACCCCCAACAAATTTCTGATTGATAAGCACTCTTGGTACCGATCTTGCACCAGTAAGTTTTTGTAGGTAATCCTGAATATCAGAACAGTTGGTTAATTCGTTAATTTCAATAACTTCATAGTCATCATTCGAGAGAAAGTCTCCTAGATATTTAGAAAACGTATTCTTCGCTTTACGACAATACGGACAGCCATGTTTAGAGAAAATCATTACTTTCTTGCTTGCAATTTTGGAATCCACAAATGATTTCGCATCACCCATTTTAAGTATTTTGTTTATTTTTTTTTTTTTTTTGCATTCTGTTTTGATGTTCTCTGTTTTAATGTCTGACAGTAGGTTTTTTTTTACTTTAATGTAAATAGTGAAATTCAATGAAAGGAATGTAATGTAATAAAAAAAAACAATTTTAAGAATCTAATATATAAAGCTCAATTCTGTATGTAAAGATACATACGTTTGTCGTTGACATACTTCCATGGATTAAAGTGTTAGAATATTATCGTGCGCATTTGTCTAAATTTATGAGTTAAAAAATTAATATTGAAAGTTTTGGGAAGTAATTTTTCATTTATCAAACTGAAAGTAATAATTTTCGGCATGTTCATTAAACACAAGTTTTAAAAAAAATATCATCTTTTACAAAAATTCAAATTATGTCTTTATTTAGTCCTATAGCACTTACTTCCCTTTGATAAATTAGGAAAACACAATTACTTCCCTTTATAAAACCATTGCATTAGTGGAAAAGAATTTACTTTTTATTACTTTGTTTTGGTGTTGGGAAAAATAATAATTACATAATTAGCGGGGATTGATCAAGTGCAAATGTTGTAGGTATTTTACGGATAAGCTTGGAGTATTAAAATTGTTCATTAAATTGAAACAGGCGCGTTCGTTTAAGTGAGTGCAAAAGACTATGAATAAGTTGGGGTACTATAGTCGTTTATTAAGCTAAAACAGGCGATTCCGTTGGGTTTGCGTTAGTGGTTGCGGTTTGATTTGGTTCTTTTTTGTTCTTTCTTTTTTCGTTTTTGTTTGTGTTTTTTTCTTTGGGTTTGTATTTGTGTTTTGGTTGGTTTTGCGTTTGGATTTGGTTTGTTTTCGTTTGCATTTTCGTTTTTTTGTGTGTGTTGTTATTGGTTGGTATTGGTGTTTGTGGTTGTGGTTGGGTTTGTTGTTAGGTTTTTGTTTTCGTTTGCTTTTTTGTTTGTTTTTTCTTTGTGTTTGTATTGGTGTTTGTGGTTGTGGTTGGGTTTGTTGTTAGGTTTTTGTTTTCGTTTGTATTTGTAATTGTGTTAGCGTTATGTTTGCGTTTTGTTGTTTTGGTTGGTTGTGGTTTGGGTGGGCAATGCCGGGTTTATGATGATTACTAAACACACAGGTGATGGTCTTTAACAGAAAGGTTTTTCACCGAAGCCAGAGCAGGGCCTGGCCGGGACGGCTAGTAAGGTAAAAAAATAATAATGCAAGTTCTAATGTAACCAATAGCATTCAAGAAGTTTTTCATCTCTAAACATTGGATAGTTAATAAAGTCAATGTTTTGTATTAATACTGTAGTCAAATATTAGTTCTAAAATCAAAATAGTATATTAAAAGCTCACAAAATATTCTAAATATAAATTATGTTTAATAGAATGCTAAGCAATAATTTTAACTTTTTATTTTGTTATTATCGAATATCTCAAAATTTTGGGAACATTATTTAGCCTATACATTGTCTCCCTTATACGATTTTAAGAAATGGCATGTAGCTATTTTAACTTTCAGTGGTAAGTAATTTATAACTGAATTTTAATTAAACGACCTGAATTTAAGAAAAGTTTTAAGAAAACATTGTAGGGTCCCTTGATATTCCATGACCCTTGTCTTGAGTCCGTTTAGCACTGCCTATTGAAGGACTCAAATTTTATATCTCCTGGTAGCTTAGTCTTTAGAGCTTAACACTTGTGGAACTTTTCTTTTTGGTCAATAAAATACCAGTACATTACAACAAGACTGTGCCTTATTGAGTTGTTGTGTCTTGTCATGTTGTTGTGTTGTTGTGTCGTGTTGTGTTGTTGTGTTGTGTCGTGTTGTGTTGTTGTGTCGTGTTGTGTTGTGCCGTTGTGTCGTGTTGTGTCGTGTTGTGTTGTTGTGTTGTGCCGTTGTGTTATGGCATGTTGTGTTGTTGTGTCGTGTTGTTGTTTTGTGTCTTGTTGTGTCGTGTTGTGTTGTGCCGTTGTGTTGTGTTATGGCATGTTGTGTTGTTGTGTTGTGCCGTTGTGTTATGGCATGTTGTGTTGTTGTGTCGTGTTGTTGTTTTGTGTCTTGTTGTGTCGTGTTGTGTTGTGCCGTTGTGTTGTGTTATGGCATGTCGTGT